GGAAGCATGGTACTCTACGACAGGTTCAATAAACCGGTGCATCGAACTGGATCCAATTTACGCACCTCTACGCCGGAGAGATCAACATCGCAACCGAAACACTCAAGGAGGACCGAACAATGGATTAAAAAACGAAGAAACAAGGAACTCCTCGGGTCAAATCAAAGCTACCGACATTCTCGTCTATAGAAAATAGAATTGGCTTGTTTTCTCGTGGGACTTTGGAACAGCATCCAGTTATGACTACGGGAAAAGAATGTGACCGTCCCTGGGACGATCCAGTTCGGTGGTGGTCGTCAAGCAGCATTAATATCGAAACTATCTACTTAGATAATTAGATTATTTTACTTTTGTTTGAGAAAACAGGGGACACAGAAATTGGCTGTGCTCATATAACCGAAACTAGCCACGTGGCTGTCACCACCGGACTGACCGAAATCCATACTTCGCCTACACTGAAAGTACATATTTTAAGACCACCTCTACAACTACTAACAACATAGACTGACCGACTGCTATGACGAATATTTTGTTTTTCAATTCAGAATTACCATTTGAACCTTGCGCTACCGAGGAATTGGATAATTCAGTTGTTTCGCCTGCTTCCTCTCCGTACCTTATCAAAACCGACCGCAGGGACTCAGCCAGTACCGCGGTACCGTCTCCACCTGGGGACAGTAACACAACTCGGAAACATACTGTTTGTCGAAGGAGCTCAAAACACATTCCAGCTTCCTCCAAGTGAGTTACTTTATGTCTGCTTTCTTTGAAAAAAAAACCTATTGCATCTGAATGAACATTCATTCCGGAAAACCCGGCTTTCCAGTTGCTGTGCAAACGTACTGTTGCTTTATACGCCCGATATAAACCCTCTCCCTCGTGTCAAATTAACAATGGTTGAGTTTCTTTAGACTTTGCTAAGGCATCATCATCGAAGTCCTGCTCAAATGAGCAAGTGGAGATCATAAGAATTCATATGCAGTCATCTAGGTACAAAAATTGACCCTTTCAACCCACAAAGCGATGCCTCTAGGGTCAGGAATCGAACTGTGACAGCTAGCACACTGCCAGTTTGCCCACAATCCACAGTCCCTTACATGGTTTTGTAGGTAAAGTGACCTCTTTTCGACGTGTTCAGCCATCTGAACACCGCCTGATTTGGTTTGTGATCCTATTGCAACCTTGTCGTCCATAACTAGAGGTGCATTTCTCAACCGGTGCCTGTAATGTGTGGGTCGTTCAGCCCACAGACAACCTTTCTGCTGGATTTTTGAGCTTAGTTGCTCTTGTAAATGTTTGCTCTGGTGAAATTATTACCCCAACCGACGACTCTGGTACGTGTGCTCATGGGGAGTTAAAGCTGAGTATCATTCAACCTACTTGTCGGATGTATGAGTTATATGGAACTTCGCTTTAGCTGATAAGAGGCTCAGCTTCAGCTGCACAGTCGTACGTTATTAATACAACCAGCGAATTCTAATCACTCGTTTGTGTGTACTTATTGGTTTGAACGGACGATTTATTCAAGATTGGCACGAACCTCAGTTTTTGCTGTTCTCCATCCGAATGTGCAGTACAAAGGCTGTTCCAGGCTTTAGTTGAGCCGATCTTCAAGATGTCGAAATATTTTTACCTTCGAAAACGATGTCAGGTTTGGCTGATATTGTGGAAGATGTATGTGAAACTAACTTTCTAAAATGTACTAGCTAATCAGATACTGCTTTTGACTACATTAGATTGTTTGCCTGACTAGTGATGATCCTTTCAAAAAGGCAATCTGAGTGAAATGTCTGAAAGCCCCCTCCCAAACTTATAATAATTCTCGGTAAGGAAGGATACTGCTTATTGGGGGGATCACTACAAGACCTTCGTAGGGTGTAAGTAACTTCGTTTCTGGTTACACGCCTCAAATGAACTTCAACCGTTTTTGGGTCCGTGTTTGCCTGGGAGATAAGTGACTGAGGATAGCCCCATTATATCTCGGTCTTTGAGTACTCAGCAAGCACCTAGACTCATATTCCCTTAATTACCATCAGTGTCGCCTTGCAGTAACGAGACAGTATCAGTGCAACTCTATTCCGGTGAACTCTTAGTTTTAGTCGTGTTATGTACAAGGGAATTTTTCCGATTAATGACGACCGATATCGAATCGATACACCTTGAACTGATCATTCCCGATGCACTTGCCTAAAACTGAGCGGTTTTTCAAGGCGGATCCGTTAGGTTTTCCTAGCCCATTTGAAAACTCATTACCATATCAAACCGAGAAGTGCTTTGATTATTAACTTCATGATAACTAGTAGCCAATCTTTAGGATGTGTCTACTGATTGCTTATTCCGAAATACTAAATATTTCTAATCCACTGGATTTGGATGATACAGACGCAACTAATGCATTTCCGACTTTTCTTTCACCATACTTGTCCTCACTGTGAAACGTTCACTTTTAGGCAGAGGGCATTTTTGGTAACAGTAAAAGAAGAAAAGTAAGCGTAGGAAAATACATGGATTGCGGATAGAGCTTCGTGTCAAGCTGGATGAATTTTTCATTAAATACCTACGTCTAACACAGGACTTCATTTTCTAGAAGAGTGATATACCCCCTGGGTTTTGACTGTATTTTAAGCATTCTTTTCAATCACACCTTTGCGAGTCCGCTGACACCAATGAATTCTACTTGTAACCTAATCAATACAGGTATGCGACTGTAAATATGGCTTCTGAGGTTTGTTGATTTTATTTGTCACACTGATGTCAATGCTGATACAGATTTATAGAGGTCAAATGCTCTCGTCAGTTCCTCTACAGTATTCGGTACCATGTTCCAGTTGTTCATCATGATTCACAGGTTTACAAAATCGCGGACAAAACTTGATCAGTAGAGGTTGTATATCGGAATGTGCACGACAAAATGTATCCATGAGGTCACATATAGACAATGTAGAACATTGTAGGATACACAAGAAGTTGCGTACAGTAAGTTAAATGAATTTGTGAAAAGCAGGTATCCCCACACAGGGACTTGTATAATGGAAATGAGGTGCCAATCTTGATGTGTCTAACGGCGCTCAATTCAGATACATCTGTGCTTATAAATAAGGGGTACTTTGTTCTCGTGTCTTTCATAACAGCGTGCGAGCTTTTACTTAGCAATAACGATGGACAATTGGTGCCTCTGATCGCCTACTATGTCACACAGTTATTGAAAGGTTACAATGCAGTTCATATTCTTTCCTTCAGAACTTGAACATTGGCTGCTGTTTCTCATACCTGTGATTTGTGCGAGACAAAATTATTCTTAAATGCATACGCTTTGTTCTTCTGCAACTTTAGTGGTTCGGATTTTGATCCTGCCGCGTTCACCATCGCAGCAAGTATAAGCTTACTTGTGAAATGAAGCTTCTGTCTGCTTGTAGCTACGTTTGTAGCTTATGGAGCCAGAACAACACGGCATTGTCACGTCGCGTTTAGTTGGATTTTGGACGCAGACGTTAAGCAACTCGATTTTTAGTCATTAGTCTTGACACACCTTGTCCTTGCTGAGACCGCGCCGTGATAATTTCGTTAGCATCACACGAAGACTGCAAGATCCGTTCGCACAAATAGCTGTTGAAGTTTGTCTACGACTTTCAGCGAAGATTTTTGATTCAGTGAACGCAACACGGTATGGTGACCGCTAACAGTTTAATCATGTGGTTGTGTTGTCTGTACGGTTCGATCCTACAAGAAACAAATGACCACAAGCTTCAAACTATAAATTCTGAGGTTACCTAAGGGAAAAGGATTTCATATTGTCCAACACATATTTGGTTATATTATGCGTCGTGTTGCTCCGGCTGTTGAGCTTGGGGCTAACTTGTGGCTTCCACACAATGGATCTTAATTCACTAGTCTTCCTGTCCTATTTGTTTGTTTAGCTCTAGACATACGATTTTCATCCGAACGATCACATCTGCAGTCAGTCCGTGGACTGCGTAGTTACCTGTGTACACTTGTGTCACCATTGATGTTTGTCGAACAAGGCTGTTTAAGTTGAGCAGGCTATCTGTGACATGTACGCAACATGTGTCCAAGAGGCATCATCCTGAGTTATGATTCGTGCTTGACTCAATCGTTTCTGAGTGGTTGAGGAATATCCCATATCCGTTAACTCTAAACCCTCCAGTCCTGATTGTTCCATATGTCATTTGGCCCGCTACCCGGAAACTGCAACCCGACAAGTGTCCTTTCAATCGACACCCTTAACAAGATGTGCGATTTGCAACGCAGCTCCTGTGCCAGATGTGCTACTCTCTTCGACAGACTTTCCAGCCGAACTGCTTGTTACCGGAAAGCCATCTCTCATCCAGGCTCGGTATGTCCGTTTGTTTTTCTTCCCATCATCTCTGTGTTCTTGTTAGCAGCTAAGATATGTTTGATTCTATCATCATATTTACAAAATACGTGTTAATCTTCAATGCGCTATGATGCATTGAGTTCTTCATGCGTTTTAGACATTTGCGGTCATTTTCCTACCTAAATTCCATACCTTATTTTTCATTCAACACCAAAGGTTCGCATGCCATCCCCATGATACTCTCTGATGTTTTGCCGCATTATTTAAACTATAGCATGGTTGAACCGGCCAGATGTGAGATAAACAATATCTCTTGCATAATATTGTGAACAGGCTGAAGCCGACGGACTCTTCGTACATTAGAGGTTGTTGACCTAATCAAGCAAACTGTTTTCACGATGCCATGTCATTCAGCGTTATGTTCCACGGCCTGCCATGAAGAAGAGCGATGGTAGTTCAGTTGGCCGCAGCGTAAACAATTCACCCACCCTTTACTATATCAAATACTATGTTGAATTTGGCTACCATTGGCTGCTAGAATTTGAAGCAATACTTCAGTATTTGTCTTGAAGCGTGACTCCTCGATCTCCACCTTTTCTCAGTAAGAGTGGATTCGAATTAATCATTCTGTGGTCCAATAGCCACATGTAACAGGTCCATACTACATTATCTCTTGCAGTCTGCTCATTCACATTTCTTTGGGAAAGGCAGTCATATACTGAGGTTGGAATAATTCGGATTCCTGAACGGTGAAAAACTGTTCAAATGAGATTGCGGTGTAAGGTTTTAGCGAACATACTTTGTTCCTTGGATGCCTATTCGTGTAGATGGTTGGTAATTTCAGTAAATCACCTCGGTGTTCCAGTGCTCCCCTCCGGTTTTACTGTCACTGATGGTAATTATGTCGCAGAAATTCTGATGTTACGCCGCTTGCATCAGTGGAATTTTTGTATGTATTCATTTGGATACCTGGGTCGTAGTTCCCTTTTTGTTGACAACTGCAATGACCTGACTTGTCATATTCCTCGGTTTGTAGTCCAACTTATTTCCCTGCAATTTCAAATATCAGCTCAAACGCCTTCCCGCAACATGATGACTTTTAAAAATAGTAACTGCTTTGATCAACCCAATAACAACCGAAATTTTAGCTTTTTGTCCAATCTGGTAAATAGGTTGCCTTTTGTTCAGTGGAAGCGCTAGTCCTGAAGATCCTGTCACAGGGTGATTTGAGCAAAGCTTGGACAGCCTCGGTTTGTCTGGCTTTTCGACACGCTGTAGATGATATACTGTTGGGGTCGTCCGTGCATGGCACGAATTTTCCTCTCTAATGTGGTTGACAGTGTGATCACACCTCGGAGCAAAATATAAACAATGTTTGAAACTGCGATTGCTATCACCAGTGTTGTCACGATCAGCAGTTTGTATGAACTCATTCATTTTAACAAATGAACGGACGAGTGTTTATTGAAATACTCGACTGGTTTTGTATTATGATGGTTAACTATGTACATGGTTTACCGGTTATGAACACACACTTTTAGTTGTGAATGTTCAAGTGTTTAAACTATCCTGGTACCAATCGTGTGAACAAAACAACCGCCGAAATGCATGTACCCCACCCTGTTCCTGTTACACGTTTGATAGTGAGTTACGCATTCAAATTAAATTTGAAACAATTCTCACTCTTGTGCTATGCATGATCGCTTCAGTCAAAACAATCCACGTCATCACGTCGGTGGAATCCTGGACAGTCTGTCAGAAACTAGACAGTGACTGTCTAGGTGACATGTCCGCCCGTTGATGTCGCCGTTAGGTTACGTCCCTTGGCTTACAGCAAGACTAGCCCAACATTTTCACTATCATCGTCAGAGAACATCAGTGCTGACAGCGATGCTTCACTGCCGTACAACTATAAAGTTCACCTAATTGTATTCAAAGATGTTCATTGTCCAGCTGGTCATGAATCCCGGTCACTGTCGCCTTTCTCATCGTCTCCTTTGACTGCATTTTTCATTTCAAGGTCATATGGTTGCAACACAACAAATCAGTCTGTTAGAACTTCAGCTGACGATATTATTTGGCTGCATAGTTGTATTATTTGAACCTCCAAGCAGCGATAAGAAATGAGTCTGGATGTGGAGAATATTCTTTAACAGGGCAGTCGAGCATGTAGTCATCCTACACAACTTGACCGACTTTATATTTTTGAACTGTTTGCCGAGGCTGGTAACTGGTCTGCAAACGTTTCGTCACTGCAGGAGAAGACTTCATTAAGGTGCTTCTGGCTGCATTTAATGGTGCACTGAGTTCTCCTAAAATGCCAACGAAACGCTTGCAAACCAAGCTCCAGGTTTGACGAATGATCCGATAACAAATAGATCCCCCTAATCTATTGGTATTCCGGAAAGTCACCTGACCAACTTCACTGTGCGGTGTCGAACTATTCTTTTCAACGTTTGGTTTGTCACTCACCGGCGTGGGAGGTACTGCAACTGAAAACTTGTATTCCGAGTTATTAACATTGTTGAACTGGAAAAAACCTACGTGCGTATGTGCATGAAAGAAGAACGGACAGGATGGTGGCCGTGGAAAGCATTTATGGTAGAGACAGACACTGAGTCGAGTACTCAGTGCTCATCAAGCCAGTGCAAGAGAGACGCTAGCCGGGGCTTTCATACGTTACATTTCAGTTCGCACTCCTGTTTTCATGCCCTGTAGTACTGGTGACGACATTTCGCTGTACATCGCATCGTTTCGCTGTCGTGCTACTACCGTTTCCCCCACTCTCTCTAGAATGACCACTTTCATTAAGTCTTTTTGAAGCTTCTAATGACTTTCTCTGATCGGTCCTCAGATGAGACTACGGTCAGTTTTAGAAACAGATTTTGGTGGAAAATTCCCTCTGGAGAAGCCTGATGTGCAGCCGGATTATTTACCATTTCTGAAAGCTTTCGTTTGCGAGTACTTAAGACTATTCATGGGATGCTGGTACAAAAGAGTGTTTTATGACTTTTGAAGTGCAGTCACATGTATGATTGGGTGGTTGAACATGGACAGGAACAGCCACCGCCCGAACTGTTTATTCTGCCCAAGCAGTCCCACCGAGGATCACTGGCTGTCCTCTCATAACTGACAGTGATCGGTTCAAAAGCTGTCCAGGCGTTACTGTTTACTTTATGGTCTCGAAGGAATCAGTGTCATTTGATAGTAGACATGGAATACTCAAATACTAATTTGTGGCGCAATAACGAAAGACGACGCATAGGTCAGCTAACGTCACCGTACACTGACTCCTCCGTCGCCAACCCACATTACTCTAGTACAATAATCACTTGGCTACGCAGCCTCTTGACTTTTACAGTGAATGTGCATCAAGTGGCGACAATTTTGCGTTGTTTAACCATGGATTCATTAAGAGCCGAGTACGACCCGAAACGGCCCATGCTGTTCCCGTTCATCGGGTTCAGTGAGAGCTGCGTATTCGGTAAACATTCTCTTTTCAGTGAATAGCCTTTCTCGTCATTTTTCTTTGTTAACGATAGATTCAAACTAAAAAAAATATACGGGAAGCGTAAAGTTGAGCACTTTAATCTATCGTCTCTGAAAAAATGAATAAAAACGGGGTGATTTGCACAATCGATTGTTAATAACACTGAAAGAATATATAATTGTCTGACAGCTACACAGAGCGCTTGGATAGTTAAAAATACCATGAAACATTACCACCAATGGTCATAAAGCGGAACTTCGAAATCTCCCCTAGCGATTATACACAAATGTACCCTGTGTGAGAAATCACAGCATGCCACAAGCACCAGCAATTCAGAATTCCAGAAACTCCGGTGTGTTTAAGGTTGTAGCTTTGCCAGTGGATAAGTCGATGCAGTTTCTCGTGGTTTCCCGAATAATCTGGCTTGCTTAAATAAGAGTTTTTCAAGGACATCAAATACCTCGAATTAAGAAGTCCTATTTAATTATACAGTCTATCTATCTGAAAATCTGATAAACCAAACATAAAACCATGTACTAGGCATTTTTATATCCATACTAAGGTTTACAAGATTTTTTAGTGCCAAATTTACTGAATGCTTACTCCTGTATCGAAATTTCGTGATATTGCTTGTGCACCAGTAGACAGGTGAATCTGAAAAACTCGCGAAGTGCTATTCGGACTAGTTATCACGTTAAAAGCATGTATGCACGCCTAGTAATTCATAGCATCATGCAGGAAGCTTACTTTTCTGTAAACTTATTAATGGTGAGAAGCGATGTGAAAGTTTCGGTACGTGCAAACAGCTTTAGATCGTATTACATGCAGTATGTCACTGCTGATGGCGTTAAGTTAGAAAGATTGTCTAGTCAACGGTGATGAAGACTGGTGTGACCTTTGCTGCCACCGACCCATTCACCTTTGATTGTGAATGAGACAATAAGTAGTGACCTCAAGGCTGTCTTTTTATCTTCTTAAACAAAATCAGAGCGTATGCTGATGATCTTATCGCTGCTTTTCACTACGGCTTAATGTCGTCGTCGAAGTCTCTTACTTTCGATTGATATTGAGGCCCACCTGCTGCACTGGCAGTACAGTAATTCATGGTACATCATTGTATCTTTGGCTTTATTGCCGGTTGCACGCACAAAAATATCCTCAGAGGATGATCTTAGAACCCACTCATTCATGACAGAAGACGAGCGAAATTAAAATGCACGCAAAAAATGATGAATTAAGACAAATTTACACATATTACAACGGAAGTCCAACAGATATAGTTCGAAAGTGTTTAACGGATTTTGGGGAAGTTGTACGTACTGGGTAAGGATCAACCATGCACTTCGAACACCTCATTTTGAATACTTCACCGTCATGAGTCACTTTTTGAACTTGAACGAACTCGGAATCCTTTCGTGCCCCAAGCGGATAGTTCGGTTCAGTCATGTGTGGAAACCACTGACTGATTTTCGAGTAACAGCAGTGATTTCAGGCAACATTTTGATAACTGCTTTGTTAAAGGGTCCATTCAGACTCACGCATCAGAACAGTCCTTGTGATGTGAGTCGAGTCAGACAGAAGTAAACTGACACTTCCTGCTATAGTTATCAAAACACGGCAAGTCCTGGTTCTATCAGTGATGGGCCAGCTGGCCGCTATGGCTCTGGCTCCGATGCGTCAATCAAGTCATCGGTTCCATGAAGCAAGCGTTGTCTCACTGTTCGATCCAAGCCTATGCGTAGTTTGGCTGCTAGGCCCTTCAGATTAGAGGCTTGTGAGAACAGCGCAGCAGCCCTATCGATGTGTAGGCTGTGGGCCTCGTTTGACACTCTATAGGTTTGCCTTCGATCTAACCCAGCGGTATCATGATGCCTCACCATAAAGGAGGGTTGTACCACAGTGTCACCGAGCTCATGCACCATCAAAGCCAGTCGTTTTCTCTGGTTTTTCTCCTCTCAAATCGGAAGATAGCATTCTTGCCACATTCTTCAAGCAACTGAAGTCTCGGTCCAAATGGAGTTCATGATCTTTCAACTTTACAACCAGTCACGTATCGACTAGACGTCACATTATTCTCGCTATGCGGTTGTCTTCGCTGCTTGGTGATTTCGGTGCCCCAACTGTTCAGCGGATTCTAGTGAAGTTCTACAGAATTCTTCAAGTTCAGCAAAGTTGTCAATGCATGCCAACATAATTTACAGATCTAATGAAAGTTAAATTTCGCGTTCTATCGTGAACAATTTTTCTTACTTATTAGGGTCCTTCTCTGACGCCAACCTGCCAAAATGGAATGTCAAAGGAAATTGGCATGGTAGATCACTGGCATGAAAAATTTTGGAAAGCCGCACCTGCGAATAGTGGATGATCGGTTTATAGCATTGTAAACCTCAGCAGAGTAATGCAGAAACGAGAAAAGGGGGAGTAAGATACCTGGGACGCTCAGTGGTAAACCCAAAAACACGCCCTGCCCACCGGCTCAGGTCAGCAGTTGAGCGCATCGAAGTCTTCTGAAATTAAAGTTCCGTTTGTACACCATCCAGAAGATTAATTAGCAAAACTTCCAGACTTGACTGCATGGGTCGCCGCATCGTGCTGTTTTTTTTTGTTCTGTTGTGATGGTACAATGGGATCCAGCATGATAAAGCACAGCTACTCGAGCGGGGCACAGCAACCTTCAATGGCGTATCCTGGTGATTAGGCTGAAAGTGCACTGCTGATTTGACAGGGCTTTATAACTGAATAAATATGTGCATTTTCGGGGGACTAGATGGACCATCTTTGGATATCTAAAAATAGCAGATGGTTATTCCAAAACTCATTGGGTTTGTCGTATTACCATTGCGTTCTATGATGGTTATAGTTTACTGAACAATCAGTGACATGTCACAGGAGATCCTCTGAAAGCGAACCCGGTTGTCCGTTTCTGCTATCACTATGTGGACCTAGCTGCGGACTCCCTCTCACAACCCATTCGCATTTATTCGCCACCTGGTTTGCAATTCTGCTCGGATATTTTTGCGTTCAAACAACCCACATCAACTCAATATTTTCCCACAGTATAATGGTGTGTAATATCCGATGTGCACTTTCAAACAATGTCGTACCCGCTATTGGGCTGGTTTAGCCGCATGTTAAGATAATTTTACACTGGGTGCACCTCAAGGATGCAAGCTCCTTGCAACGTATTGTTGAGGTTCACAGACAACCATCTATAACCAAAAACTTTTGACTGACGATATCCAGGCTTATTTATCTCCATACTTTTCCTTTATGGAAGAATGAGGTATAACAAATCGAAGAAAACTTGATCTCCCCTCTGACAGACCTTTCCGATACCTTCGTAAGCGCAGCCAGTTAATGTCCAATTTTAGCAAGAATTCAGGTCGCATATGCTGGTCCCCAAACGGACTGGATCGACCTGTATATGTCGCTCAGCCCATAAACAACCGTTTTTTTACTGATCGTCCATTGTACCACCATCCGGTTTTTGAGGATTTGATTAAGCCCTCAGCATACCATGAGGTGAACGTGAGGTATTTTGCTGTGTGGTTGTCTGCCGAAATTTCAGTAAATGTGTCGTCAACACAGATGGCTGCAGTAGTTTTCTACGTAAAAGCCTCCCATGTATTGTGGCTGTATGATTGTGTACAGCACTGATGGGACAGATGTGGGCTTTTCTATCGTTTTACTTCTCTAGCACGACTTGTTTGAGATCTGTACAATTCTCTACTGGGTTCCTTCCCAAATGGAAACGCAGAGGCATGTTTGACGAGACAGTGGTTTCAATTAATCGCCTTGCTTTCTACACACGGTTCATCTTCATCTCTGTATTGATTACCTTTAGTGTCTGTCGGTCAAAGAAGGATGTCAAAGGTGAAGTTGCTGCAAATGAACTGAGTGAGGTAAACAATTTCACTTTTAGATGTTCAGTACAATATTTCTTTTAGCTTCTGCCCTTCATGGAATATGAACTGCACTATCGGTTGTTGCAGCAATTGAGAGTAAGCCGAACTTTCCATCTTGGTAATGACCACTTGTTTTGCACAATAGCTTCGGGGAATGAATGCTATCTTTGGGTTGCGTTTCCGCATCACAATCGGTGAATATTTCATCGCGACAATTGCTGTAAGTCGCATCCATTCCTACGGTATCTCCTAACATGTACTTGTCCGGCGACGTTCTCTGGAGATTGTTTGCCATGCACGTCATTGTCTGTATCAGTTTGTTTGTTTGCATGTCATCTTGAGCAATAGCTGTATTTTCTAAAGAACGAACTGACGATTGATAATTCGTCGGATCGACAAACTCAGGTGGTTCGTTTACTTCGAAGTAGCAGATGAAGAGGAGTTCTGCTTAGACACCCATTCACTAACCCGGCCGTCTGACTCTTCACGGAACATTCAAACGGTATGCGGTATTCAACCGTACTCCCCTTTTGGCTATCATTCGTATCAATCGAAATCCCAAGCCATTCTCGCGTTATCTGATCCATGCCCATCTACTTTTCAGTGCACTTGTGTTATAACCAATAATAGTGGTTCTGTCACCAATGCAGCTTTTGACCGATATAGTAGATTTTTCGCGATGGCAGATTGTTTTCGAATCAATTACGGGGTAAATACACTGATTGACGAAGTTTTCTACTCAGTTGCCACAACTTGCTGCTCAAGCAGAACATAAGGTTGATGGAAACTCTAGAACTACGCCTACTAAATGAGTCTCGAGAGGGACGAAATCGGTCGTGGGCTGTCGACGAGTTTCCAGCAACCTTATGAGAAGCGTGTTCCACCAAGAAGAATCCGCCAGTTGTTCAACACAGATTTATTCACACCTCTGTTTTTTGTTTTTTTTCACCAGACCGGGACCGGGGTCTTCGCCTCTTCTCTACCAAGTCCTCCATTACCTAAAGTCCCACATGTCCGAACGGTTCGTTTTCATCTTCTCTATGTTTTACTCACTTATATGACGCAACATTCGGGCCATTTGTGTCACCGGTGCTTTATTCTGTATCCTACAGCCTACTTCCTCAGTTAACGACCGATTATTTCGTGTACGACTGCAGAAACAACTGAAAGACTATATTCACAAAAGTCATTGTCTTTTTGGGCTTGGCGGACAGGTGAGTATTCTTTTTACGCTCTATTCACTTCACTTTACTCAGATTTATCCGATTGTGCCACTTCTCAGTGTTCTGTACCGTGGAATGCAAGTGTGTAACTTCATTTTTCTGTATAAAAAAAGCAAGTAGAATTTACTGGTTTCCAACACAGTGTCACATAAGTGCCATCTTTGTAACCATGTTGACCACTAAGCACCTTATCACTGACCACCGGAGGTGAAATTTCCCAGCACCTAAGTTATCGGCGAAGCACAGTGTCACAATCCGCCATTTATTTGTTAAAGTGGAAAATCAGAGATGTGCTATTGAACTTATTCAACTTGAAGTGGCATGGTCACTAGGTCTTCTTGTGCGGAATAAGAATACGACCTTGGCTAAATACATTCATTTGCACATTAAGTTGGTAGTATCGGGGGACTAATCTAAATCCCCTGCTTATAATGCTCTTCAGCTGAAGGTACCGCACCAAAGCCGCTTGTATTCCACTTGGTAGGCTATTCGAAACGGAATGTGCTACTTAGCCTTGTGAGTCACATCTTCCGACTTCCAGCATAGTTCCGATCCTAGGTATAATATTGGTTACAGCTCGCACTTAGTAGTCTCCGAGGTGACTGTGATATAATGATTTTGCCTAATCTGTTTGTCACTTGATCATTCTACTCAATCTCAAAATCTGTGTGAACAACTGCCCCAAATGACAACTTAGATAAAGAAGGTCATCAGTTGCCACTCGCCTTACTTCCTGTATTGGCCGGATTATGTACATTGGGAAAGGTTCATATAAGGTCGACCTTGTCACGTTTTCCAATTCCTGGCTATTATCAAACACAATGCGGTAACTTTTATTGATTCAAACCTGCCTTCTCAATCTCAGCTGTGTTAACCCTGGTCGGCGAATCACGGAGCACACAAGGGACTCACCCTAGAAACTTACTTTCGTAGTCTTTCGAACACATCGATAAAATGAGCGACTTCAGCGTCCACTGTCTTTACTCTCCGTTGTTGGTGGTCTTATCTTTTGGGATTTCAATAAATATACACTAAGCAAGACAAGTACTTATTCCGTTCTTCTAGAGTTCCACACTCTTGAAGACTCAAAACTCCATTTGCATAACCGCTCGTCGACTTTTGAATAATTGCTTCCAGCCAGCTGAGCTGCGGCATAGAAACAGTAGTTCGTTCCCTCGCGGCAGCACGTTTTGCGATTGATGCAGCGTTGGATGCGTTGGACACAAAGCCTCTGAGCAAACGACACACTGTTCATCGCCTCGCCTATCTTGTGGATACTCCTTGACCGAGATTTTTCATTGAACGATTTTGTCAATCATTACTACAACAGGAACATCATAAGGTTTTCCGCGAAATAATTTCCCTACGTTAAGTAACAACCCATTCTTGCTACTGAATGTCCTGTTGTATGCGTAACGGGCTCAGAACGAGCTAACCTTTCGGCCATCCCTAAACCAGTCACATGTGAATACGATTAGAAAATAGGTTAGTTGTAGACGGCTCCTAATGAAGAACTCAGACAGAGCCTTCTAGCATATCTTGGTTCGATAATCTTATCAGTGGGCAACTCCTCCTAGTGCGTCTACAGGTCCCGTCTTTCACGAGCCCTACTTCAGTACTTTGGAACACTTGCTCGTTTAAGTTAACTAACTTCAAATAACTGTGACTGTTGATCTCCACTGTTTTTTCATCATCAGGACGATCAAAGGAAGGAAACTACGGTATTCCAGGATCCATGCGATCGGCGTGAACTCCGTTGCGAGGAACAACTCATTTCATTGGATTCTTCAATGCAAAAGCAAACGTTATATGAGTTCGTTGATGCCGAGCACACAGTAAACGGATCTGAATGTCCTGAAGAGCAAGATCCTGGTACTGTGTACTTGGAAACTAGGGAGCCTGAAGCCGAGGACCTGGCAACATTTCTCAGGGATCCCCTACAACCGTCGGGTGAGTGTTCGACCACGACTTTAACAAAAGAGCTGAAGCGACGTACTAGTTTTTTCTTCGTTTTCATTAGTTGGCCGCCCCCTACCTGTTTGGCATAAACTTTCTCGTGAGTGTGGATTCAGATTGTGTGAAACCAGTTCTGCAAATGTGACGTGCAACACACACAACAGGCAACTGATGCGTGGCAGATGTGATTCCCGAACTGTGCTACTGCGCACGACCATTTATTCATCATTTAGGCTATACAGATAGTCCCTATTTATAAATAACATATCAGTCGCTCTTGTCTGCCGATGTCACAATATACCCTGAACACTTAAAACGAAAACAGGGGGTACTGGAGTGGATAATCTGATGAGTTCCATCAGGAAAATACTTTCGTCTCAAAGAAGAGTATTGTTCAGTGGCGCTCCATTGCGTACGACTACACAGTATCAGATGGGGCGCTATTGTTGTCGTAAGTTTAACTTGTGATTCTGTTTCTTGTATACTCTCTTGTCACTCTCTCCCAGTGTTTTGAAGGACTTTCTACATGAGGCGGACGAAACCTCGCTACACCGGGCATTAAAACTCGTCTTTGCAAAGATATTCTGTAGCACCTGGAGCTGTTCATCGAAACATTGTTTGCTTGCCCAAAATGTTTCAAGTCGATTAGACTGTATCACATTGTCCAAACCTAAGTGTCATCGTGGAGTTTGAGAGTGAAGAATGGGCATCATTGACAGTAACAAAATACTGGAGTGAGTGGGGTTGCGGCTAGGGTGGTGCCTGCGAATCATGTTGCACTGCTTTGTTCGCAGCCCATAAATTATGCGAGGTCGCTAGAAAATGTAAACAAATTAGGTAGGATTTTCCAGGCTACTTTCTCGAGAGATACAGCAGTCTGTCTCTGGCGAACATTGTGTAAAGTTCCTTGGTCGTTTCAAGGAAGGGTCGTCAGCTAGAGCGAGTACCGCAATTCCGATTGCAGTATTTCAGGCTCCTAACTTAGTTTAGCATGCTTTCTAGTAATCTTCTCACCACTCCTTCAAAACGATGGCGTTTGGCCTTTCCTACTCTGAGCGATTCCTGTGGTAATCATTAGTCCAACCGAATTTAGAGTGGCCACTTAGTTCATACATTTTGCTTCACACAGGTCTACTTCTGACAACCACGGATGTGTTGCCCTGTAACATGAAGCAAACAAGTTTCAACGAAGCTGTGTTTTCCTGGGTACGTGGTTCAGAGGATGGTAAGGCCGATAACTTGGCTGCCAAATTTTGCACTCTCCTCGGTGATGATTGGATTCCAGTGCAGAGTTTCACCCGAATTCACGAGGAAAAACTAACTTCATCTGATTCTTTGATCGAAAATAACGGCATTGTCCCGATGACCATCAGGGATGCGAATATTGATGCCACTACTCCGTTCTCTGAGAACCTTATCTCGAAACCTGGATCCTTTTCACAGAGTTCTACCGTAAATCCTTTGGCCACTAACCTGTCATCCTCAAGTGCCGGTCCGGCAGCCAGCAAACAAGTAGTCTCAACCAACCTACTCAGTTCTTCATTTTCCAGTGCGACAAACGTATGGCCCCCAAATACCAATCGCAACAGATCTGAACAGTCGTTGGGTTCTGCCAATTTGGGGCGCTCATTAAGCGACATACTCATCGATTCCAACCAGTTGACATGGTTTCGTTTCCGCCATTTAATGCCATGTGTCCTGAGTGCGTTGGATTTCCGTTTGACGATCACGGATGATGATTTTCTTCAAGTTAGTCAAACATTTTATTTGAAACTTGACCTCTTCGTAAGGCAGGTATTTGTACCGTCAGTTTACTTTACCCTGTTTTGCGCTGTTGATTGTGATTCTAAACACATACTTTTCCGGATGTCAGTAACATCGAACTCTGCTGTTATGACTCCGAATGACTGAGACTGAAGGGTCAACGTGCTCACAATTGTCAAATTAGGCCGGGATGGTCAATTAAGATGTCTCCGCTTCCCCCTTCATTGAATAGGGGCCTTCCAAAATGACAACTTCGACACGTACTCATGAACTTCACGATTAGAATGATGGGCACAAAGCCAAATACCACAAATGGCTCGTAAATAGTTGACTCCTCAGTCGCGCCTTCTCAAAGTATTTGCAATTATCAGGATATGATTGCGGGTGTGAATATATGCAGATGTATTCGGTGTGTTTAATAGTTGCTCCTCTGTCATCCTGTGATTTACTATTCAGGAAAGCCGTTTTATGAGCCGAGCGATTCCGTTCCTGTGCTTATTTTTGCATTCCCACACATATCTTCTCGGATATTTAAAGTCTGCGCCCTCTGTCGAATATACGTTCTGAATAAACTCTTTTCATCCCATGTTGGCAGAAAATATAGAAAAATAGACGTGTTGACTTATCCGAATATGTTTCCTGTGAAACGACGTGCGAAGTATCTGATAGTTTGGGCGAGTTTGTCGGATATCTAGGAGGGTCGTTGTCGTTTGCCTGTCCCGACGGAAGGTAATCGCTGTTCGGAACAGCTCTAATTTTTTCTCGCATTGTATCACTGAGATATCAGCCCCACATCTTTTGTAAAATTCAGTCTATTCAGCCACATCTTCCATGCGCACTTGTGTTGGTGATAAGCTTTCTGTGACGACCTATTCAATATTTACCTTATACTGGCCATGGAATTTGAAACAACCGTTCCCCGTCGAAAACCAAGCTAGAAGTTTCAGTCCGTGGTTTCATGTAACGATGTATTTGTGGACAAAATATCGGTCTTTCACGTTTGGTCGTGATACTGTTTTGGAAACTATTCTTCAAAGTTTATAGTATGAGCCTATCATACACGGGTTTCAGTATTTGTACCCATCATTCCACCAGTTCGCATTGTGTCTGTCATCGACAGGATTTTCTGTGGTAAGTTTGCCTTGTGCAATCCGGGAATTGTGTCCCTCGGTCCGAAGGCGGTGTCTGCAACGATAAATTCCCTTTTCAGAAGGGAAGCGACCATATTCTATGAATTTTATCCAATCCGTCGGTATCGCTCACATTCTCTGAATATAATCACCGTTTATCATAACGAAGCCTTATCCCTTGGCTGACTGTACTATAACAGTGCCGGCATACTTTTTAAAGATGTCTTCACAGAGGAAACGCAGATATGTGGGCGTTCTGGTTGTGGCTAAACTGACGCCCTGGTGTGGTATTCAGGTAGAATATCCCGACTGTTCACTAACATAACTAGAATAAATCGACAACCGCGTCGACCAAGGATCGGGCCCGAGGTCAAACATATCAGCTGTATAAACTAGTTGGTGGGCAAGTGATTCAAAGATAGTAGCCTGAAGCTGTTATAAAATGGGTTGTGTCCGACACTTTTACACCCCCCTAAGTCACAGCAAGGAAGAAAGCATTCATGTGGCCTAACTTCCCTGAATCCAATCGCATCTTTATGGTGGACTTCGCAGGTCCACTTTGGACACCGCACTATTGTTTCAGATGATACCTGCTGTCTAGAGTCTGATTCTGTAGCGGTATTCCATGAGTATACCACTGCGTTGGTCGTGAGACTGACGACTCCATACTCCGTGCATTATACACAATATTTAACGGTACCGATATCTGTCCTCAAGATGCAGTAGATAAAATGTGAGAATGTTCCTTCGGCTACGCCGTGAACTAACCATCATCCGTGGGTTTGGCCGCTACAACAGTCTAGAATGCGCTGCAAGTTTTACAGCAGCGAATTGCGGACCGAACATATGAAACCTACAAGTGCGCTGAACGCGACTCCCTACACCGTTTTCACAAGCGCAACCACCAGCGTCTGAGATCTACTCAACTACAGTTACTCTGTCCTTTATTTGCCAGTTTCTTTGTTGCTCCAAAGTCCATGTGTATACCGGTCCGTTTGCACAGCTCGTAACTTTGAACTAGACTGTCTGATGGCTGCTCTACTAAGTCCATTGATACAGGCTTTCTTATGCACACCAACAGTAACTTCAGTAGACAAGGCTAAGCTGCACGCGAAAACCGGCTAACAACTTGATCACTTCGCCGTATAATTAAGGCCTTCCAAGGTATGAGCCCTAGAGTTCACTCAGATACCTGTAAGTTCGTTCATTATAAGCAGATTATATGGATTTCCATCCTAATTAGCTCAACTGTCAATGATTTAGACCTCCTGAAGTTGACCATTCCACACCCGACAATAATGTATTCGTGTATTCACTCAAGGTTGTCACGACGGGAATGGTTTTGGCTCCTGCTCACCGTGCGTCCCATACCTGTGTAACGTGTTTCTGCGACACCAAAAGATCAGTCACTGGAGGGACTCTCGGCTCAGTGACGAACGCCGAAGCTACCATTGGCTCAGAGAACCTTCAGAACCTGCATGTCTCTGTTAGTCCAACTAGGGTAAGATTACGCTCGATTTAAACGTATTTTGAAACCGTTTACTGTGTCTTATCAGTTGATAATGGCTTTGACTATCTACAAGCTTACTATCATGGCCACAAATCGGTGAGATCAGAACCACGTGAACTGCCCGGTGGTCTGACATTGGCAGTGATACGCTCGCTTCTCAGTTCGATTTGTAATTCTGACAGCTCACGAAGACTACTTTTAGGCAAGGCTGTACCAAGTACCGAACTTTTTCCGTCTAACGAATACTATATCCAAGTTGATCATCTTTCCATCGTTTCTACTTTTACAAGCTAAACCATCAACAACCGTGCAAACTTTCAAAAAGCAGTGACCATACCCGAGAACATCCATCTCCGCCACCTGATTGGAACGACCCACTCAACGGTTGTCTATTGACACCGTTGTCCAGTCTACCCAACACTATGGTGGAAACATATTTGGGTAATCTGGACTTCTTTTTCATCCGTGAAACCAACGACCTTCGTGAGGTGCGTGAATAATTTGTAGTCTTTGTCTCTACTTTTATCTTGTAAGGACTTATCTAACTGATCACTCCCCATCACCTTTTCAGGCTGGGGGTATATGCGGCTTCCTGCACACTAGTTTGGCAGAAGTTCAAGCTGTGGTTGGTGCTCATACAACCAGTTTGGGTGGGAACGCTCTGTTGTCCTACCATCTAAGTGAAGTCCTCGTTTTACGGCCCGCTTCTCGAAATCAGGCTCAATGCTTACTCAACGTATGTGGCGACATGGCTCGAATAGCACAGTCAAAATCATACAGAGGTGCCGCCAGTTAGCTCTCACATGCATTATGTGGCACAAATCCCAAGTTTGGAAGTAGTTCCTTAACTGAACTATGAATTTCCTTGTATTTTTGCATTTGACGAGCTGGTTTAACGGACCAGTTGTCCGTGTTTTATGAATTGTGCTGAACTGTTTGTTAGTCGGACACATTCCGCGTGATTATACGTGTTTCTGTTGTTACAAATATCTTTTGTACAAAGCTTTCAGCTTTCTTTCTTAATGGACTTTGGCCCTAATTACATTCAGTCTACTAAACTGTATTTTAATCAAAGTCATAGGTTGTTTTCGATAGGCCATCGTTGCTTTCGAATTGTCGATTATTGGAGATGGTAGCATGTCGTGAATATGATCCGAATCATTGTCATGGTATAACAGAGCCGCTACTCCCCGAACTCGGTTCTCTCGATGAAAAATCGAAGTCTCCACTCAGTATGTTTGGTTTCTCTACTGTGCACCATACAGACTCAGACTGAATAAGGCATCCACACGATATTCAGATTTTACCTCATTGCTTTTGGATGTTGGCGAGTTCCCACTGCATCCTCAGTGTACTCACTTCGCTTGCTTAGCAGAGTTGACCCACCGATAAGTGTCTCGGTCGCCTTTCCATAAGGAGAGTTGGAACGTTTGTTGTACTTGTCGGGCTCATGTCCAGCGTCTCTGTCTGTTTATGCCTTGTCCATGGTCAAACCGAGTACTGTGGAATATTCACACCTTCCTGGATAGGTTCCGCGTGTTCCAGCTTGTACGTGACTGGGACCTTTGCAGGGAATGGTGCGCGACCGAGCCCAATGGCCTGCCTGCTATCATACCCTAACCAGACAGCCTAGCTGCAGTTCACTGGGCTTGTCAAGTAAGGCTCACAAAGGATGTTAGTGGCACCTTACTTTGACAAGATGCTCAGATGTGTTCATTGTAAAGCTGTCCAAAGATTAGTGACTTCCTGAGGAACACAGGATTTCGAACCGTCGGCTTTTCTTTGCACCATATACTAAGCCTTCCGTAATGATTGTATGCCAGTTCGGCGCCAGTAGGTATTACTAGTGTTTTGTTGTGAATGATGATGCCCATGTACGGCGTTGCAGTAGAACGAACGTTCACATCACCCTGTCCTTCGCGCGATTTTTCTCAATTTTAGTCTTTCCCACCTCCTAGACCCTCTCACTCACCCCACCCTAGACCCGTTTATCTCAATGATGTTTGCCATATTCGCGTAATCAGCTCATTCGTTAACTTATGCTAGTCGTTCAGCTGTAGCGCCCTTTCGGTGCCTAGCTGCCATGCCACACGAAGGAGGCACGAGGGCTGGGATACTGTCAGGTCGCCCAAGCCTAGACAGGGGAAGTCGAGTGGCAGAGGTCGGGTTCGAACCACGGACCTTCTAGTCAGTACATTCGCGCTCTAACCACTTGGGCCATCTCGCGAACACACTTTCGTCTGACTGAATTCAGTTCCCATTCCCATCAGAATTGTTCGAGACGATATTTATCTGCTCGTTAAATTTGGGTGCCAGAACGACTGGATCTATCACTGGACTTTTCAACGTACTTACTGTACTTCGCATTCGTACCACAAACTTATCATCAGAAATCCGTTTTCTGAGATCCGTGAGTTCATTGCCACTATCACAGCCATATTATCTCGGTCGCTTGCATGTCAGACTGCGGGTCACCGTGATTAGTCCGAGTAGCCATCGACTTTCGTCATAGCATTTGGTCTTATTCAACTATCCAGTTGATTGGGCTTGTGCTAAATCTACGACCGGTGGAGAAAAGTCAAAATTTGGAGGATGAATCGGGCAGGTGATTGAGAAGTCGGAATGTGTTTGCCGCGAACATACTAATGATTAATAGAGTTCCCAGTTTTTTTTTCAGAATCTGTCAGTGTGTGTAAGCGCAGTAACGATGGGCGTTATGGCTTTAAGCAATCAGAAGACCAACACAGCAGACATCACCCGATTGTCGAGCCGGACGTATTTCCGGACACGTGATATCGGTTCTGAACGTCGTAAATCCCTCCCCCACTGTGAACTAGAACCTACAGTACCAGCAAACACTTGTCTTTCCTTCTCAAGGTTGGACTGGCTGTGACGCACGGAATGGTGCGGAGCATGTGTGGAACGCTTAAAGTTCCCAGGGCTAATCATAGTTTGGCCCTGGTCTTGCGGCGTGTAGTGATCCCAGCGCATAACTCGCTTACACCTTGCAAAGTCAAATAGAATGAAGGCAGCTTTCCTTTCGACGACATCTTAGCTGATGGAGGCTGAATAGATAAACAGAAAGAAGATGGATAAAGTTACGGTGGAGAAAGCGAAGAATGTCGTGGTCAATCCTACGAAAGCGGTTCACACACCCGCGAAGAATAGCTCTTCCTCGACTATCTCAAAATCTACGTCCGAAGACGCTGGCGAGTGTATTGTGGCGCTAGCGTTACCTAGACTAGAGATTAAAGCTCTTGGCGGTGCCCCCTACGCTTGAGACGAGAAAAAAAGAAATTCGAAGTGGACGTGGCCAATCGACTAGCAGACGACTCTCAAAGATTATGAGCAACTGGAAACTAAACGCGATTCTAGGTTCGTAAGTTTAATTTCCTGGGCTGAGCAGTAGGTAAGGCTACGTTGCGTCGAATATGAGTTCACATCGAAGTGCAGTTTAGCGCACACTAAACCAAGGGAAAATGCGTCTGTCAATCAACCGACATTTCAAACTGGTCACTTAGCAATCAACTCGGTCGCGCTGGCAACTGCCATCTCCTATGATGAGTATCCAGGACCAAAATACACCAGTGATTAATGACCTGACAGATATGGCTATGTGGAGCAACCATTGTAGATTGCGCATTAAAGCTACCGTATTCACTACTTACCTTCCACACTACCTGCCACGTTGGACAAACAGAACCACATAAACTCAAGTAACTGCCATCTTCTTCAACATGCGGCTCTCATTTCTCTATTCTCCTTATCCTTGGTGAACAAAGTTATAGCAGCTTGGAAACACCGTAATTCGATGTACCGTTTGTAGCTGAAGAACTAAATTGATCCGGGCAGCTCTAAAAGCCGTGGCTGCATCCTAACAAAAGAAGTCAATCCACGCGTTATTAGGGCGCGAGCGACGTTTGCAGACATGCATCAGAAATTCGCTTCAGTGGAGCTGAGGGACTGTGTGCACAAAGCAAATGTAACAGAAATCTCACTCCGTCGTTGCCAAACTTGGTGCCTCCGAGTCGAGAAACTTATACGGATCGAAACGTTTGATCACCGATGCCTTCACGATTTAACAGACGGCAACTGGCTGCAGCAATAAAATGGTACGTATACGGGCGATAAACCAAACAAAGCACGTTTTTTCTAATTCGAACGCTTCTTAATCGTTTTTCATGGGACGTAAATCTGTGTGCACTTGGTTTACACCCTCCTTATGGCCGTTGAGCATCAGTATTTACCGCTGTCAGTGCTGACCAGGTAAGTGACCTTTGAAACTGATCGGTAGGACTCAGTCCACACAACCACAAAAATCACATTACGGACTGACTGTAGTGTTGTGAATGAGCAGTGTCATCACTGGATCTTCGTTGCCGCAGCACCGGTTTCCATTTAGGAAGGACTTGCTCAATATTAGACGTCAGTTTATGATTAGCGTCTTCCCTGTGTTCACCCGTTCATAGTTTCCACTTGTAAAAAAAAAGCAAGAGACTAGGAATTCTATTCAAGTCAATACTGGTCATACTGAAGATAGCGTGCACAGAAAAGGATAGCAATAAATAGGGCGGAAAAATGTCAAAAATCACAATCGACATATCATGTTTCGATGGGGAAGGGGGAGGTGGTCAGCAGTCGGAAAATGTCATCAAAAGCTACGAAAGTCATTATGAAATAATTCCTAAAGCTAATGATCCAGGATGCGCAGATTACCCGAAACAATTTTGTTCTCGAATATTGCTCCGGAAGGTATATTGATCAGACTGCCTACATTGGCAATGATGATCACTGTTCCCTGAAAAGGTGGAGGGTAAAAGAAAAAACCCAGGTCAAACGATCAGATCGTGGTTTTCGAGGATAGTCTGTCGAGATCGGTCCGAAGCAGATGTGTATTCCGAACGAGCTGAGAAACAATCTCCCTTAGTGAATCATCTATCATATACACTCGCTTTTTCTTATCTCAAGATCAGGGGTGCGAAACGAATGTGCGGGATAATCCTAATGAGTTTACACTAAGATACTGTAGAGTTGGTGCTGTATCCATAGGCTCTTAGAAATGGTGAAGCATTTGATACCTTGCATTCTTCCATCGACGTCCTGGCAGGAACAGCAATATGATTAGTTACATTCAGAGCAGAAAGACAAAAGAAGCGTTTGCATACCCTGAGCGTAATGCCTTTCCCAAAGTATACATCACCGGCGACCGTTAGATGGTCTAATTCCAACATGTCAGGAATACTGGCGAATCGGGTCAAAAAGTCTTTCACTTTTTTGAAGTGGCTCCCGAGCTTGACCAACGGCACTGACGGGAAACTGCGAAGAGGAGAAAGGGTCAGCCGACCACCATCCAGCACATAAAGGTTGGACATGACCATGAGCAGATCCGACGTGGTTTTTACCGGCAAGAAACGGCTTCTGGGTACATTAATACCTAAAACAGAGGGAAATATGAAACTGAACACACTTTGGAATATGACTATATTTCTCGCTGCTAAGCAACCAATGGGCTTCATCTCAAGGGGAAAATTATGAAGAGTAAAGAAAGCCTTCCTACAAGGTGTATATCGAAACATGCTCAGTAGGTTCAATAAAACCGTCAAAGTTGAGGTATGATGTGCCTCCAAAAGTACGAATTGGAACAAGTTCTGCACATGAAATTGTACCTTGCTTCAGACGTCAGCGCAGGTTACATATTTGTTAACTTCATTTTAGGTCGGCGAATTTCACCTCATTTCTCCCGCCTAACAAAGCTGAATTCTGCCCATCCAAAATAAACCAAGGCATGATAACCGATTGTCAGTTTGTGGTTGAACGTCATCATCAGCTTTATAAATAGCATAGTTGCCGCTATGGCTACCATAGTTGCGTTCGCTAATGATCTGGGGAGGTAGGGGTAAACAGCTAAGCATTGGAGGCGGTAGCTGATATAAGTGATGCGTTAATACCGGAGTGCCAGTGAACTTTTCATTGGGAAGATCAGAAGGGAGAAGCCATATACTGAAGGCAACAGCTTGGATGCATGCGCGTGACTGAGCCATGCTTGACAGTTTCTTCAACTCTTGATGTGAACCGTTTCGCGGTCCCCACCCAGGGGGACAGAAATGATGGGCGCAGTTAATTTTGCTGTTGTTACCTTTCGTACTTCTCTGCCAAGTCATCACTTGACCTTCGTAGCTCGTTTCCGTCCTTCGCGTGGTTGAGCAAATACGGCTCTTCGACGAATTTGGTCAGCTGGCAGACGGAGCACGTGACCAAGCCAGCGTAACCTCTGGAGTGTGACCAGTTCATCCCTCGTGGGCTAGTTAGTTCTTCCGGAACCCGTTCGACGTAATTCAGCTCTATTGGACCGGTGACCCCATTGCGATTAAACGCAGCTCAAGTAGCTTGTTCAAATTACATTAGTAGGGTAACCGTGCTGATGGCTGAACCATACAACCGTTTGACCCTCCTCATAGAAAACATCAGTTGAGTGTTCAAAAGCAGGAAAAACAATCCAAAAATTATCGGACATTGTCAGATATGGCGGATAATTCAAAACAAACAAGAAAAAGACATTATTCCGAAACTCGCGGGGATTTACCAGTAGTTTAGCTCATTCGCAACTTGGTGCGAGCTCGCCGTTTTCGCAGAAAGGGCTGAGCAGCTCGGAATTCACAGTAAGCTACGGTTGGTCGGCAAAACTCCAGAGAATGCAAGTAAGCTTGTGAAAAAATTGAATAAGCTAGCTCGAGACGTCAAACTCAATGACGGAGAGGAACTAAGACATTTGTTTCGACTAGATATCTCGAGATTAGATGAAACGGCAGTCAGGCTGTCTTCATAACCGAGGGGAAGCGTTGCGCTATCAAGTGCTAATTGTTACGGATTGAAAGGCTCATACGCGTTTGACCTTTATGCTATGTGGTCAGACTTCGGACCATCAGTATTGATGTAAGCGGCTGCAATTCAAAGAAAAGTGTCAACAATCTTGCATGGTTGGATATTTTTCCTGAGGTTTTCACAGTTCAGTCATTTATTGCCGCTGATTGTTCTGGAATCTGCGTATGGTGTGTCAATCGTTTTTCTTGAATTTTTTGGCTACAACTCAATGTAGATCGCTTAAATTTTCAGCACCCTTAAGCCACCACAGTCGTTCACTGGATTTTTGGTCAAACTTAACTATGCTCAAGGACCACTAGAACGTTTTCCTCGTGTTACGGAAAGGTGCGAAACGCCGTTGAAGCCCGTTTAGATTAGGTGCCAAAATTGAATATTTCAGGGTATGCAATGTCCTCAAAACATTGCTCACCAAATCCTTATCCTGCCAGAAAAGTGAAGTGAACGAAAAATTGAGCAGCAATGGCCGAAAGGGCGCAGTGTCACTGAAAAAGTGGGATGGAACAATTCGCCAACAATGTTCATACAGCCTTTCATAGGACGTCATCATATGACCCAATCGCAGACAATATAATGTAGTAAAAATCCTGTCAGTCGTTTCAAAATAAACGACACGAGAAAACGGAAGACGGTGAAAACATCGAGGGGTTTTAAGGGTTCAACCTACCAAGCGCCACATCAAAGCTTCTCACGGCAGCTCCGGCAGCCTGTTCAAGCTGCAAAATGTTCAGGCCAGAATCTAATGTTTTCGGATTAACGATCACTTCCATTTGTATAGTGTCCTTCTTAACCAAATCCACCATCACTGGCAGTTTGACCCAAAGGTTATTGGTGTTGAAAATGCGAAAAGTGCGCACACTGGCGAATTCGTCCTGGTGTTCTTTTGGAACCTGGGTTGTAAAGGGGAGCCGTGAAACGGTTCATCAGTGTGCTTATCTGTTCATAGACGCAGGCCTACTGTAATTATTACAGATGTACAATCCAAACTCTGCCTTTATATATTGCAGGGATGAAATACTGTCTGTTCAGAGGTTATTCAGAAGATTATCCAGAAGACCACACGGCAAGGACACGGTAAAAGTTGACACTCGGGCGGTTTGATTATAAGGACACAAGTGGGTTAGACGCATGGAGTGAGTTCAATCTTCAATCTCCTCAGCCAGTGGAGAGTGTACTGCTCACTCAGCGACTGTGATGTGTCCAGAGGAGCGTATGAATTTCAGACAGTCAGTAATCTATATTCGTGAGCTAAATGTGATCTTTTCACCTGGCGCCAAGTGCGCCGGTGGATGCGCGTTCAGGCAGCATAGGGCCCTTTGCTTGACGTTGCATATACGGTTCTACACCTTGGAAACAAAACCACGGGGAGATAATCTGACCAAAACATCCCTGAATTGTTGTGTGATAGCTTTTATCTGGGCGAAACCTGATTCTTCAAGACGGCCAACGATGACCTCGGACATGTTTCAATTCTGACTAAGGAACTACCGTGATCCCCCCAAAAGGAGTTCACAGGCTCTTATTTTGTTAGATTTGATCGATGCAGAGATCACTCTCTTAAAAAAAGACAATGAAAAGTATGGTCACCTTGCTAATAGACGGATGAGGGCAATTCGTGGATATGCTTCTGACTGAAAGTTAAACCACAGCTTCCGACGGGTTTCACAACCACTGGGTTGCTCATTCAGCCGTTTTTTTCGTAAGATGGCGAACAATATATGGATGTTTGCCATTTCGACGCTGTAGTAGGTTGACCCCCACAGCCACACACGCTAAATCCTTCAGCCGATGCAGAGGTTAGCTTTCCCACATGTGATTTTGACATCTCTCTATGTTTGTCTCAAGGAGCACTATCATATGAGCAGGATTAAAACGGCCTTAGGAGAGCACCTGTTCACACGAAGGAAGAGCAGATACGATTTAGTGGGATAATCGACAAACGAAAACTGGTTGAAGCAAGAACAAAGTGGTGGGTCTACGGTACCATAAGCAGTCATCCGATCGCAACTCCTAGAAAGTAGGCCCAAGGAAACATGTTGCAAAATCTTAAAACGATTCACGTAATTTGTTACTGCAACCACCAAAGATACTGATGAAACTCCGTCAACCAAAATCGAGTTAACTATGGAATTGTGGAGGGCATCCAGATATGCAAGCATGCTGTAACACGGGAAACGGGGTGGTGGGTCTGCTGACGTGTTAGCTTTTTTTCGAGTGCGCCTTATGACTGATGAGGGACACTGTTTTGGTCTCTACTCAGGAGACCTTTCGAAAGAGTCACTGCATAAATAGTGTAGTAGACCGGAGGCAAGAGAAACCCCAAGGGGTGAGAATCTTCTTCGGGGTTGCTCACTATGAGCGATTCCGATCAGATCGGCTGTCTATTTCGAAGTAACCTAATTGTACAGGAGGAACTAATCATGATGATAGAATCCCAACTGCGAGGATGCCTTACTTGTGCTAACTCCAAAAGCCGTAGATGTCCTTGGTAATTCGTCAAAGTGCCACCTTTGACATCAGCGCTTGTTTTGTCAGTAACCTCCATAGCGAATTGTGGCAACAAGGGTGAGGTAAGAAGAAAATGCAAGATGTCTGAAAAATGATTGGTCAAGGAAAACAGGAGTGAATAAATAAGCAAGGTCCTAAAGTATCAAAACCATACTAATATGAATGTACGACCATCGCAAAAAGGATACGAAGATCGACCGTTGCTCCAAGATTGTCAATATTGGAGAGAAACACCCACTCCTTCCCTTCAGCCGACAGCTTTTCCGCCAATCCGGATTCAACAAAGCTGCGATAGAAATCGCCGTGACCAGGTGGGTACCAGTGCTCTCCTCGAAGCTGACCTTCATTCGAGGGTTTCTCGTTAGGATCAAACGCGCATTTTGCTAAAGGTAGCAAGGATTCCCGATTCAGACGAGGGTACCTGATAAAAAGAAACATGTATGCAGGGTGAATAGCAAAACGGTGCGAACACCTGTGTCGTTCACGAAAAAGTGAAAACTGTTGAACCGCAGGGAAAGTGAGCAAATATTCAAAGATAAGCTAGTAATAGTCTTCAGCCCCGCTCGTTACTGAGATTAACTGGATAAAACTGTTACCCTGCTAGTGAAAAATTGCGCTCGAAATAGACCAATCGAAATGATCAGTTTTTTTTTAAAGATCCGCTTACTGTAGGTGTTCGCCACAGCACTGTGCCCGAATACCCATGAAAGATTGCATTTCGGACAAACCTGCAAATAACTTGGTGCCGGGAATATTGATTCCCACACATTATTGAGAAAGGGATAACGTAATCCAACTGTCATTACCTAGTCCCATTCAACTCCCATAGTTTAAACGCAGAAACAGTGACCCGTGAAATTGTTGGGGCTGAGGCTTCGAAATCAAAGAACTATATGAAAGGAGTACGCAGAGTTTTGGAACAATTGGCGACAACCGCGTCGAGCTGAGTACGACGATTTCAAATGTGATTCAAATTTGAAAAGAAAACAGCTACACGGAAATCATGACGAGGCTCACATGCTTTGCATGAAAGTGAGGATCTGCACATTCATCTTCTGGTATTTTCTTAGAACTTTCTCCGTGTCCGCGTTCGTGTTGAAGGAGTTCATCAACACCAGAGGTATATTCACATTGTATTCCCTATTCAACCCCTGAAAACAAGTAAAATAAACACACGATGAGACTGTCGGGCAAAATGGACTTTGGTTTAGTATCTCAACCGCAAAACCAGTCAGAAAATAGAGACTGGTGATAAGGGCGCCATCAACCCCGAGTCCCAGTCCTATTTTATGGAAACTCCAGCGTCGAGCAGGGCTAGTTACGGGCAGTCAGATATCGAGAAAATCTGGTGGTTAAGGGACGAAACGGATCGGAAGACCAGGAAAATGAAAACGAATAGAAAAGGCAGACATCCTTGCCGGATACTATTTTTCGTACGAAGGCTTTCGGACAACTACCCGGATACCCTCATGCCCACAAGTACGAACCTATAACGTTGATAATATTCCGGGGTTTTCCCTACTGAAGAAGTGTCTTAGGAAAAGACTAGCCAACAGAGTCAAATTCACCTTGAAAATCCAGAAGTACCAAAACTCCGGGTCACGTACACGTATAGCATTGTTCTGGCATCTGACGGAGTGTGAAGATTTGATTAACACAATCCCTACCATACCGGAATCTCATTCGCTGCTCTTGAGTTAAAGCCTGACGAACTAATATAAGGTGACGAAAGGCAAGTGACACCAAGAGGCTCTTTCCTACAACATTTAAGCTGACCTTCCCGTGATTGCCGCATTCAATACAAGTCCCCTTTTCAAAACGGGTACCATTACTGATTCCTCCAATTTGTCTGGAACAGTACCCTCCAAAATGAAGGCGAACAGACCAGACAAACACTACCTAAGGATGTCGCCCTAATCCTTGAACAATGTGGGTGAGATATTATTCGAAACAGGGAGTCAGTGGTGCGTGAGGGAAGAGATGCATTGATAAACACCGAGGTCACCTTCCAGGGTTCTAAAGCAGTTCGCATACGTATCATTCTTCTTGCCACAACACCAAAAGAGTCACTGTAAGTTACTGGGAAATCCGGAGTCTAAGCACAGTTAGTTCCGTTCATCACATAATAGGATTCGAGCATGGGAAACGATAACCCAGATTACCGTCACTTTAACGCATTCTGAAATATCATATGTAAACGAAGACGGCGAAATGACAGACCTCAATTTGCTGAATGGTTAGGTCCAAAAAGGTCAGCTCGTTGCGGACGGAGATCAGCGATTTCGGTCCCGTGCAGCCCATCGTTGTACCAAGACCACCATTGAGTTTCACCACTACCAACTTTTGCAATTCTTGGCGGAGCATCTCTTTGTCTTCTTGGGTGACTAAACTGGCGTAGGTTTTCACCTGAAAAAGTAAACATATTTCTATAAGGTCGTAGAGTGAGTCAACGAACGAAACTAAGACAACGGGACATTACAGTAAAAAGTATTTAGTACTCATCGTGTTTGTAGCGCTGCCTTTTCTGCATCGAACTGCCATTTAAGCCGCAATTAATTGTTGTGAGCGACAGGATGATGACCAACTATCCCACCGGTCTACACCCTATATATATAT